GTGGGGTGAGTTTAAGTACCAGCTGCTCCAACAGACTTTTCTCACAGTTCTGAAAGATGGTGACTTTAGAGAGAGTGGGCAGATGCACGCTCACGGCAATTGCTGTCTGAAGTGTGATTGGAAGAAGTTGAAGAATCTCATTCTCCCGTGTGATCTTTATGTTCCAGACATATGAGAAGATTTGGGTGGAAACAAACATTTAAATGATGAAGCATTTAAATAAAGAGAGAGAAACAGCTTTAAGGCATTTAATCTCATGTTACTAAGAAAGGTTAGTTCTGAGAAAAGCTAGCATTGTTTTTTCAGTTGCCACATGGTGTCATATTTTGTTCTCATTTGCAATTTAGCAAACTTTTACATTTACACTACTGTTCAAAAGGTTGGGTCGATAATTTATGTTTTTGAAAGAAGTCTCTTATGCTTACACATTTATTTTATACCTGTGATGGAAAAGCTGATTTTTCAGCAGCCATTACTCTAGTGTCAAATGACCCTTCAAGAAATCATTCCAATATGCTGATGTGGTGCAACATTTTGTTATTATCATCAATATTAAAAACAGCTGCCAAATATCTTTACTGTCACTTTTGCTCAATTTAATTCATCCTTGCTAAATAATAGTAATTTCTTAAAAATATCTTACTGCTTACTGATTTTTGAAGGGTAGTGTAGATTAAATATATGCTGTACATTTAAATTCTGCTGTTTGTGCTCACACACTAGCATGGGGGTGTCAAACTCAGTTCCTGTTGGGCCACAGCCCTGCAGAGTTTAGTTCCAGCCCTGCTCCAACACTCACACCATAGCTGTGTCCCAATGGGAAGTGCACGGACTCCAAAGTGCGCATTTGAAGTGCAATTGCGTCACAGCATCACAATGTAAGTTGTCCCAATTCAGGATGCACCCTCCGAAGACGGCATTCCAAGGCCGATTGCATCACCACGTCGCGACGAAGGCTGACATATTTCGAAAGCGACTACAAATGCACCCTCCATTTCCCAGGAAAATTAAGTGTACATCTGATGGACACTTTGCACCCTACACTCTTAAAAATAAAGGTGCTTCAAAAGGTTCTTCAAGCGATGCCATAGAAGAACCATTTTTGGTTCCACAAAGAACCATTCAGTCAAAGGTTCTTTAAAGAACCATCTCTTTCTTACCTTTTTGTAATCTGAAGAAACTTCTATCGCCACAAAGAACCTTTTGTCAAACAGAAAGGTTCTTCAGATGTTAAAGGTTCTTTATGGAACCATTTAGACAAAAAGGTTCTTCTATGGCATCGTGAAGCACCTTTATTTTTAAGAGTGTACCATATCCCAGAATCACTTGCGCGCAGATGACGATGGAATTTATATTCAAAGAACATGGAGGATGACAGTTCTGTTTATTTGTTTTTTTCACTTACATGTCATTCCATAAGGAATATTATTTGATTAATTTATTACTTTTGCTGGCAAAGTTTAGTATACATAAATGCAAGTACGGCGATTATAAACCATTGTTTCTCATTTTGAAATCAGAAGTTAAGCAATACCTAAAATCTATGTATCTATTTACAATCTGATAAACAAGAAAGCTGTTAAGTGTATTAATGTATGTAAACATTTCCATGTTTTTATGTAATTTCCTCTCTATTTCATTGTAATTTTGTATCTGTTTTTCTTTGTTTTTCAATAAAAAAAAAAAGGATGACAGTTCTGTGGGGGAATTCACATTGAAATGTAAGTATTGTGTTTTTATTTACTCAAATACCTAGCGAAACAAGTGTTAAAAGCCAGGTTTAAAAAAAAAAAAACTAAGCCCACAAACAATAAGACAACCACTATATAAGGCAATAGTCTTTCTTTTTGTTGTGTTTTTGTAGTGTTGTCATGTCTACAAATGTTTTAACCAAACTTTAGCACTTCAGTTTGCTAATGTCCTGCATGTCCTGCTGTGCCATATTTTCTAATGCTAAGATTGCAAACCTGTTTTTATATTTCTCATAAGTGTTTCCATTTTCTCTTGTTTTAGGACTATTCTGGAGAAAATGAGTCTGCTGGGGAAAGACTTAAAAAATACAAAGTAAGCAAGTAAATAGACACATTTTTGCTGAAATTCATTGTGCTGTTGTTGTTATCAGGCATGGTTTATTTGCTCTGCCTTAGGATTGCAAGTGTCCTGGGACAGGTGAGGGAGTGAGTGGAAGCTGGTGGAGCTGCTCAGTGAGGACATCAAACTCCAGAGAGAGACAGAGGAGAGAAGAGCACAGGAGAGCAAGGAGAGAATGGAGGGACTGTTTTCTCTTCTTGAGAGAATGCTTAACAAATACTTTATTAGCCAAGAGAAAACTGTGGAAAAAATTGGTACATTACAATTTTTCAATATCTTTTTTTAAATGTCACATTGTCAATGAAACAACCTAATTTCTGTAGTTTACTTTTGTGATGTAAGTTCAAAATTAAATGAATAAGTTGTATACATTATTCAGTTTTGTTTTGTGTAATTTATTTGTAAATGTACTTTCTGTACATTTTGTATTTTTGTTTTGCATATTCACATGTGTAAATAAAAGAGAAGTAATTATGTACATTGTTAATTTTTTTAATGCAGCTTATAATTTTTTCACGAAACATTCTTCTATTAATTTTTTTTGTCTTGACATTTTTTTTTTTTACACATTTAAACAAATTGTTCTATACATTACTGAAAGTACTTTTTACAACTATTTACAACATACAACATACTATTTACAACATAGCTTAGGTTTAACATCAGAAAAAAAACCCCCATAAATTTTGATCCCAGCCCTGCCTCCATGTGTTCTGGGGTCTTCGGGAGGTGAATCTCTTGGCGAATGGCCAGCACCTCCTCAGCGACTCGGAGGACAATGTGGTGACAGTGGAACGAGGCATGTCAAACACTCTGGAGACCACTCTGTATGATGTACCACTGGCAGACAGAAAAGAAACACCAGGGTCTGGATTGTGGCACCCCATCCGTGTTGCCGTTCACTTCTCAGAAGATCCAGCAGCACTGTCAGGGCAAACTGTTTAGAGCTATGACAAAGTAATTAGTAGAAGAAATATTGAGATACATTAGTAAACTACTTTTAGTAACTACCAATACTATATTGGGGAAAAGCTACTAGTCATATTTAAAATTAAAGGGATAGTTCACTCAAAAATGAAAATTCAAAACCTGGAACAACTTGAGGGTGAGTAAATGATTACAGAATTTTCATTTTTGGGTGAACTATCCTTTAAGTAAAAGTAGTATCTTGCATACTCTAATATACTTAAGGTATTGAGAGTAAAAGTAAAGGTATACAGTATTGTTCTGAAAAAGAATTAGTCAGGATGGTTTTGCATTAATATTACTGCTGCACTAATGTGTATGTTGCGTTTTACTTCTGAATATGTTCAAGGTTATTTAATTTAAAGTTGCCTACTAAATATACTGTTGGGTAGTTTCAATCTACAACAATGCATCATGTTGTAAAAGACAGTCCACCTCTGAGTTTTTAGAAAATGAAAGTATCAACTTTTTGTCAGAATGTTAACACATTTTTGCTAACTATATCAAAGGCTGCATCTGAAGGACTCGGACTGGTCAAACAGAGCACTGTTCAGCTGTGAGAGCTGCCGCTGAACATTGAGCTGTACAATGCTCTATTTTTTTTATTCACAGTTTTATTTTTGCTAACCTGTCTACATATGATCACCATGGTCAAGACAATAAACTATATAAAATCGCACCTTTGTAAGATATCAGTCAGCATTTGAACTGCTATGTGTGTGTGTGTATTTTGTAGTTTTCCATATGTATGATTACATTATTCAAGTAAGCTCCAAGCCAATTCCTGCATTTAAAGTTGTAATCCGACAAAGGACGACGTTTCCATGCGGTCCAAGGCCTCGATGTCCCAAGCGAGAGGAGCGCAGGTAACGCGTTTTCAAAAGGGACAAGTCTCGCACCTGGATACCCTGCTCTAGAAAACCTGTAAAAGAGGAAAGCCTTTAAAAAAAAAAAAAAAAAAGGTATCTTGAGGTTTTCCAGTGACGATTTGAGAAACAGCAAATGGTGCCTCAAGTTTCTTTTCACTTGTACAGAGCAAAAAACAACAACAACTAATTAACATATTTAAATATTTATATAAATTCATAATAAAATCAATCTATACTGACGCAAAGTTGACAATTAAATAAATACATTCAAAGACAATAAATAAAGCGACAAGATGCACACTTACCTGTGCGAAACCCAGTAAATGTGTCAAGCATAGAACAAGTCACAGATATAATCCAATGTGAGCCATCTTGACGACAACTTCTTTTCAGTTGCATAGAAACATGTCTTTTTAACAATACACAGATATTTTAACGTCAGTTCTCGCACAAGCGGACCGACTTCTTAGCAAATGAACTAGCTTTAGGACTTGAAATCCAAAACATATCTGCATATTTGGAATATTTTTTTAGAACTAAAATGTTATTGTTTTTGTTAATGTTGTCATTTCACAGTTACACAATTCTCTCAAATTAAGTGATTTATTAAAATATATACTGCATAAATTGGTACAGATGTAGCTCAACATAAAGTAGTCAAACCTTGGTGTTTTCCTATACCTGAATATTATGATGACCCAGTTATAGCAGACATAGGAAGCATCATAATTGTAATAAAAGCAACTGTCAGGGAAGGAAAAAAATACATAATCTATTACCACTTGGTGGCAGCATTTATATCAAAGGTTTTTTGTTCTGCACAGCGTTGGACTCATTTTACCTACCATGCTGGGGCCAACTCATGAAAATTAATTAGGCACAGCGTCTGGTCGCTCCTTAAAGGCAGAGCCGTTACAAACCAAAGCAACGCCATCGTGATCTAATCAATATTCATACTTCATCGTACGCCACTTCATCAATTCTCCAATTTCCCCGGCGGTGGCGCTCCGAGCAAAACAACCGGCCACCCTCCAGTGTAACGTCACAGCGTCCCGTGCGTGTGGGTGTGTCCGTGGAATCTGAGGAGCAAGATGGCTGCGGGACGAAGGGAGAGGTTGACAAATCTGAGACTCGCTGTTTCAGGATAGACAGGTTACGGCGGAGGACGAAGCGGAAAACTGCACTCGCTTGCGTGAGTATTTTTTGCTCAGGTTTTAGCGGTCGAATCGGGCTGTGTGGTCTCGACACCGTTCGTTTCCCGCTCGGCTCGCGAGCTCAACGGACAGCCTCGAATCAGATCTTACCCGTTGCGAGCTCAATGTGCGGCTAACGGTGAAACTCCACACAGATGAGACGAGAAATACAACTGGAAGTCAAAGAAAATATGCGTACACCCTATAAATCACGATTTTGTTGGAAGTATCAAGAATTAGGTTTGATTTGTGTCTTCCACTTGACATAACCACATAGAATAACGTTCTGTGTTAACCTTTCAGTTCCCAGTTTCTGTTAAAAAACAACACAGCACTGCGTTAGGAATGTGTAGCGTGACACTTACTTACACTGAAAGTGAGAAAGAGGGAGCTGCATTGGCATAAACTTGAATATGTGATAGACAGCTGGTTAGGTATTTGTAGGTCAGCTTCTTGGTATGAACCAGCGGTTTTGTTGTCGTGTTTTTTAAGGCGCTGTTGTAAGTGGCATTTGACCTGCACAGTATTAATATGGTAAGTGGTGTGGTCCCAGGTTTGCCCTGTAAAATGTGTATGTTGACATAAGTGATGAACCCTAGGCTTCAAAATGACTGTTGTGTTGTTGTGTAACGTGAGTACTCAACACTTAGCTGTGAGGCCGGTGTGAATTATGGTGCATCATGTCAGTCCAAATCATTTATAATCTTGTGGTCTATCCTTTGTAACTAACCTGTTTTTGAATGAGTCAAACCTCAAGTGTGACTGACATGTGTGGTTGAAAACAATCTCTTATAAATATGATTATGGCTGTTTCCATGCGGTCCAAGGCCTCGATGTCCCAAGCGAGAGGAGCGCAGGTAACGCGTTTTCAAAAGGGACAAGTCTCGCACCTGGATACCCTGCTCTAGAAAACCTGTAAAAGAGGAAAGCCTTTAAAAAAAAAAAAAAAAAAGGTATCTTGAGGTTTTCCAGTGACGATTTGAGAAACAGCAAATGGTGCCTCAAGTTTCTTTTCACTTGTACAGAGCAAAAAACAACAACAACTAATTAACATATTTAAATATTTATATAAATTCATAATAAAATCAATCTATACTGACGCAAAGTTGACAATTAAATAAATACATTCAAAGACAATAAATAAAGCGACAAGATGCACACTTACCTGTGCGAAACCCAGTAAATGTGTCAAGCATAGAACAAGTCACAGATATAATCCAATGTGAGCCATCTTGACGACAACTTCTTTTCAGTTGCATAGAAACATGTCTTTTTAACAATACACAGATATTTTAACGTCAGTTCTCGCACAAGCGGACCGACTTCTTAGCAAATGAACTAGCTTTAGGACTTGAAATCCAAAACATATCTGCATATTTGGAATATTTTTTTAGAACTAAAATGTTATTGTTTTTGTTAATGTTGTCATTTCACAGTTACACAATTCTCTCAAATTAAGTGATTTATTAAAATATATACTGCATAAATTGGTACAGATGTAGCTCAACATAAAGTAGTCAAACCTTGGTGTTTTCCTATACCTGAATATTATGATGACCCAGTTATAGCAGACATAGGAAGCATCATAATTGTAATAAAAGCAACTGTCAGGGAAGGAAAAAAATACATAATCTATTACCACTTGGTGGCAGCATTTATATCAAAGGTTTTTTGTTCTGCACAGCGTTGGACTCATTTTACCTACCATGCTGGGGCCAACTCATGAAAATTAATTAGGCACAGCGTCTGGTCGCTCCTTAAAGGCAGAGCCGTTACAAACCAAAGCAACGCCATCGTGATCTAATCAATATTCATACTTCATCGTACGCCACTTCATCAATTCTCCAATTTCCCCGGCGGTGGCGCTCCGAGCAAAACAACCGGCCACCCTCCAGTGTAACGTCACAGCGTCCCGTGCGTGTGGGTGTGTCCGTGGAATCTGAGGAGCAAGATGGCTGCGGGACGAAGGGAGAGGTTGACAAATCTGAGACTCGCTGTTTCAGGATAGACAGGTTACGGCGGAGGACGAAGCGGAAAACTGCACTCGCTTGCGTGAGTATTTTTTGCTCAGGTTTTAGCGGTCGAATCGGGCTGTGTGGTCTCGACACCGTTCGTTTCCCGCTCGGCTCGCGAGCTCAACGGACAGCCTCGAATCAGATCTTACCCGTTGCGAGCTCAATGTGCGGCTAACGGTGAAACTCCACACAGATGAGACGAGAAATACAACTGGAAGTCAAAGAAAATATGCGTACACCCTATAAATCACGATTTTGTTGGAAGTATCAAGAATTAGGTTTGATTTGTGTCTTCCACTTGACATAACCACATAGAATAACGTTCTGTGTTAACCTTTCAGTTCCCAGTTTCTGTTAAAAAACAACACAGCACTGCGTTAGGAATGTGTAGCGTGACACTTACTTACACTGAAAGTGAGAAAGAGGGAGCTGCATTGGCATAAACTTGAATATGTGATAGACAGCTGGTTAGGTATTTGTAGGTCAGCTTCTTGGTATGAACCAGCGGTTTTGTTGTCGTGTTTTTTAAGGCGCTGTTGTAAGTGGCATTTGACCTGCACAGTATTAATATGGTAAGTGGTGTGGTCCCAGGTTTGCCCTGTAAAATGTGTATGTTGACATAAGTGATGAACCCTAGGCTTCAAAATGACTGTTGTGTTGTTGTGTAACGTGAGTACTCAACACTTAGCTGTGAGGCCGGTGTGAATTATGGTGCATCATGTCAGTCCAAATCATTTATAATCTTGTGGTCTATCCTTTGTAACTAACCTGTTTTTGAATGAGTCAAACCTCAAGTGTGACTGACATGTGTGGTTGAAAACAATCTCTTATAAATATGATTATGGCTACAACACTGGGTGGCAGCAGTGGAAGCTGCTCTGTTGAGTCCTTCTGTTGGAATGTGTCGTTCATATGAAAGCCTGTTGTGCTTTTTATGAAGACTATGCATGAAATCTCTGTATTTTTCACCAAATGTGAGAGTAGACAGTATTCCTGATTCCTGTATTGAATAGGAGTTAATGGCAGGGTTATGAGTGGAAGTGGAGATTTTGAGTGGTCTGCAAAAAAGTAATGATGCTCTAGTAGGTTCTCTGTTGATGGTGTATTATTCAATGTTTAACAGGGTTTAGCTTCGTATTTCATTATTTCAGGTGTAGGTGCTGGGATTCCTCAGCTAGGCCTACTCATTATTAATTACTTTTATCTAAGACAGTATTATTGATTCTCACCCTTCATCTTATTGTAACAAATTGTGTGTAAAGTCCAGTGTTATTTTTGTATAATTTAGATAATATTATAGTTTTTAATTAAGATTTTTTGAATGTTTTCTGTTTCATTTTATTTTTAGTTAAAGATTTAGTAATTTTGTTGTTGTGTGTTTTTGTCAATTTTTTGTACATTTTTACCTTTGTTTTATCTTTGTTATAGTAGTACATCATGTTAAACTAAATGAAAATTGCTGCCTTGGCAGCTAGCTGAAGTATAATATGTTTTTAAGTTTTTAAAAATATTTTATTTAATGTCAGAATTTTTTATGGTTTTAGTTAACTGCAATAACCCTGATTCAATCATACTTTTTCTCCATAAAGTCTATATAATACTAGCTACTAGAGCAACATTTCTGTGCCATAAAACCATATAAACTTTTGTGCTCTAGTGAAGATGTGCTTCAGACTCTCTTGGTCTGTCTTTCTGTCTACACCCCCTCTGCACAGACTCATACACGCACTTGCTGGAGTCATTTTGACCTGTTGTGTTCAGGTTAATTTCCCTTCAGCAAATGCTACATCAGTCCTAAACTCATTTCAGTGTCAGAATGAATGAAACCCAAGGAATGAATATGACCTGTAGTGCAAACAAACTTGCTCTCATTCTTTCTTTCTCTCGCTCTATTCACTTGTTCTCCTTATTACTTCCAACCGTCAGTGGTCAACACTCTTTAGTTGGATTCCATTGAATTTTGTCATTTATAGTTTCTTATGATTCACCATTTTTGCCTTTTTCGGCGTAAATATGAAGCATGCCAAAATAGAAGTAAATGCGTAGTCTAAAAATTCAAATCATAAGGAAGTATAAGCTAGGGATGCACAATATTATCGGACTGATATTGGAATCGGCCGATAATGGATTTAAATGTAAATATCGGCATCGGCCCGATATGAAAAATTATGTCTCGCCTATAATAGGAATACGGAACAATAAGAGGAATACGTTAACTCGCATGTGCTCAGGGTGTGCTTGCGATTAGATCACGTCAGCTGTGTGGCTCATTCTTGAAGCAAAGTTTTGTCTGAATAATGATTAGATTCACTCTTTTGTATGCTGCATTTAATCTGTGAAAGCAGGTACAGAATGATGAGTTAGGTGTATGATAGAGTAAACAGTAATAGCACGTGCAGCAGTGACAGCCTCCCCCAGGTCCTAATGCCCATTCGGTAAGGAGTTTTAAACTGTAGGGGGCGATGTTGGCCTACTTCTAATTAAATTAAAAGTAAAATAGCCTACACAAATAACATTTTAGACTGTGTTTCTGATTAAATAAAGCAGTTATTGATGTAATAATATAATGAGTATGTTTTGATTTAAAGGTCAGAAGCTATAGCTTACATGAAAAAAAATCACAAACATGACACTTGTAAATTAAATAATT